CCGCATCATCGGGGTACCCCTCCATGCCGTACCCGTAGCCCCCCACGCCGCCGGCGTCTTCGTTGGGACCGGACCCCACCGGGGCGGGGATGATGTCCAGCAGGTCTTCCGCTGCATCGGCAGGAGGGCCACCCGCCTGCGAGGAGAAGAACGGGGTGGGGGCGTTACCATCGCTAGTGTGCCCCGCCCACGCCGTGCCGAGGTGGTCGTTTTGTTGTTGCTGTGACGGGAAAGGGGACGACCCGTCTCTTGCTTGGACCTCGGGAGCGCCGTTGGCGAGCCCCACCATGAGTTCATCCAGGCTGAACCTGCCGTGTCCAATTTGTTGGATTGATTGGTCGGTCGGTCGGTCGGTCGGTCGGGGAACATCGAAGGAACAAGGCACCAACACACATACGCAGAAAATCGCGACAAAGGAGGCAGAAGAACGAAACTCGTCAAATGTCGACACCGGCGCCTGGGGTAGGCAAGCAGGTCATGTGCAACGTCGGCGCGGACACATACGTTGACTGTTGCAAAACCTCCAACTTGTATCTACCTACGATACCACTGTTTCAAGTATCCACCACCAACGCAAGCCGGCTGTATGTGCGTGTGTTGTGTTGTGTTTCTTTGCAACAATAATAGCGCGGACCGCCTGAACCGGCGGACCGATGAAAAGAAGTCAGGCTCATCTCCGGGACAAAAACCGTGCATGCATATGAATACATGTGTCCATGGGTGCGTGTGTCACCCATCTCACACCCTAGATGTGCATCTCAACACGTTACAAAAGGTAATTTTCCTTGCCGCACCAACGAGGGTCTCGCAGAAGAAAGACCCCACAATTGTTCTCTTTTCCCTTAGTCATTGGGACTACCACACGCACCTCTTCAGGTGCATCAGGGTGCCGAACAGCTGGAGGCAGGCCCAAGCACTGACCACGTCACCGAACGCGCTTGGCGGGAATCCCCTTGGGCAAGGTAGCTTCCCCGGTTCCGGCCACGGCGCCGGCTGTTTGCCCATCAGGAGCTGCTCTTGCCGAAGCTCCTGTTGTGCGGTCGCCGTGCATGGGCAGAGGAGGATGGTGCCAGTCACTCAGCAAAGAGCATACAAGCAAGTCCAAGTGGAAACCATTTCTTGGATCACGTGCTTCGAACACAACGCTAGAAGCAAGGCATTTCGCACACCATGTCTTCCAAACACAACGCTAGAAGAAAAGAATTTTCCAAACCATGGCTTTCAAACACAACGCTAGGAGGACAGTATTTCTCACATCATGCGTTCCAAACACAACACGTTGGAAAGTTACACCTGCGCCCCGGCATTCCATTCCACTTGAACAACGTCCACAACCACGACAGCAAGGTACAGCAACAACTAAAAACGCACCTACAGCAGTACTAAACAAAACCAACAACACCAACAACACCGCGTGCAGCAAGAGCCAAATAACACACCTGGTCGACAACAAAAACCGGGTAAACCAAGAGCCAAGAACACACATGAGACGTTTCTTATCCCGCTATAATAGTAGACAAGACAGACGCCGTGCCCTTTCACTGGTCAGCCGGCTAAATTAGGGCGGTCGATGCTATCTCAAAAACACACACGCACCTCGTCCGGGAGCGGGTACCGCTTGGCCAGCCTGGCCCTCTCCTTCTCGATGCCCCTCCTGGCCTGCTCCCTGGCCTGCTGCTCCGCCCTTTCCCGGTCCTTTGCCTCCTTCTCCAGCCTCTTTTGCTCCAGCTTGGCCAGGCGCTCCGCCTCCTTTGCCCTGCGAGCGCGCTCCTTCTCCTCCGCTATCTCGCGCTGGTTTCGTCGGATGCGCGCAGTCAAGGTTGTTTAGAAAGTATGCATACAACAACAGAACGACTACCCGTTTGGGATAATACCACAGTCGAAGAGGGTGTGTTGAAGTGTTCAAGTCGTTGCAGTGACTGGGAGAAAAATCGGCTGCGGTTTGTTCGTTAAGGGCGAGACTGGGCGTTATACATAGTAGGCTTTCACATTCCTTGGCTTCGCTCTTGGCGATGAGCATTGTCCGGGGGGTGCCGGGACAGCCGGTGTTGCTCCCTACGACTCGATCGTCAAAAGCATCGTTAGGCTTGGTTGGCGTTCTAGGTATTGGCGCGCCTGATCGTGGTTAACGTTTCCCAACACTGTTAATACATTGTTGTGTACCACCTCGCGGGTGTTCCGTCAATGATTTTTGCTTGGGCTCCGTTTCGTTGGCGCTCGACGGCGAAGAACCGCTACTGCTTCTACCCACCTTGTCGGGACGACGGAGACATCAGGCACGCAAACTGACTCGACATGACAAAACGGATATCGACAACGTGGTCCCGGACCCCCTCCACATGTGCCTTCTTCCTTCTTCCTTCTTCCATCTTCCTTCTTCCTTCTTCCCCGCCGCTCAAGCTCGCCCTGTATAACTCATCACCCGAAAAAACAAACACGAATCAATCGAAACAATACACACACCTGCTTCTCCAGCTTCTTGACGTGTGCAGCCTGCCGCTCGGCCTGGCGCTCTAGCAGCAGCCTTGCCTTCTCCTCCGCCTGGCGCTCCAGCTTCTGCTTCTTTTCCAGCGCCTTCCTCTCTTTCTCGGCCTCCTTTTCGGCCTTCTCTCTCGCCGCCTTCTCCGCCTTCTCCCTCGCCGCCGCCTCCGCCTTCTCGGCTTTCTCCCTGGCCGCGATCTCCGCTTTCTCCGCTTTCTCCTTCGCCAACATCTCCGCCTTCGCTGCCTTCTCCTTCGCAAGCTTCTCCGCCTTCGCCTGCTTCTCCAGCTTCTCCGCGATCCTCTGCTGAAGCCTCTCCTCCGCAGTCGGGCCGGTTTTCACCGCTTTCACGGCGGACCCAGGTCTCGGCAGCGCTCCTCCGCCTCCCGTTCCCGCCCCGCGTCCCTGGCTTAAAAAACCTCCTGCCCCCTCAACTCCGCGCTTCGTACCCCCTCCGCCGGACCCCTTCGGACCCGATCCTCTCCCCCCCCGCTGTTTCGCGCCGCCCCCTCCGGCCGGCTTCATGCCGCCGCCGCCTCGTCCCCCCTGCACATGCTGCATGCCTCGAGGGTCCTGCCTCATCGCGCTCGCCCCCTGCTTCATCACGCCTCCTCCTCCTCCTCCGCCCCCGTGTTTTGCACCAGCACCAACACCACCGCTCCCACCGCTCCCACCGCCGCCCATTTGCTTGGGAACTCCCACTGTCTCGCCTGGTCTTGGCCCTCCTTTCGAACCTCCTGGTGGTCGCTTCGCGCTTGGCTTATGAGCAGCACCCGGCCTCGGAGAGCTCGGCTTCGGACTTCCAGGCTTCGGAGCGCTCGGCTTCGGCACTCCAGGCTTCGTGGCACTGAGTTTCGGCGCTCCGATCAGCTTCGGAGCACCCGGCTTCGGACCACTCAGTTTCGGAGCGGCACCCGGCCTCGGAGCAGCACCCGGCCTCGGAGCAGCACCCGGCCTCGGAGCAGCAGGCTTAGGAGCACCCGGCTTCGGACCGCCAGGCTTCGGGCCACCAGGTTTCGGGACGCCAGGTTTCGGTCCTCCCATCAGCTTGGGGGCGCCGCTGCCCTCCGCCTTGTAGCTCCCCGAGAGTACCCCTCCTCCCCCTCCCCCTCCTGTCCTGATTCCGCCGCCCATAGAGTTCAAGTTGGCGGCAATTCGTATCGGGCCCGCGTTTGCAGCGGGTTTGAAGGAGGAAGCGGCGGCGGTGGCGGACGCGTTCGGGGCTGGTCTGGAGAAGGGCCCTCTGTCGGGGGCGGTGAGCATTCGCCTGTCGGGGGGAGGCCTGGTGACGGCAGGCGGCGGTATCGGTGGCGGGGGCGGCCGCCGGACAAAGGAGCGGCCGTTCGCTTCCCATTCCTGTATGGTCAAGAGGGGGGGGGGTGCGCGCACGGCACGCTACTTTGGGTGGGCAGAAGTGATGGAAGAGTTGTGGGCGACAGGGGTCAACTGGCAGACGGAAGACGAGCAAGCAGGCATACCAATGACTCCCTCTGCCCTCTAAACAGCATAGTTTCCGCCGAACCGAACCTCAGCAACCCCACCAACGTCTCCCTGCCTCGCTCCCCCCTCCCTTCCATCGCACGTCAACTCTCTGAGGTTCAAAATACAGCATGCAGGGAATATATAACAGTCCGCCCACCGCACCTGCCCCTTCGTCGCCAGCTCCTTCAAGAACAGCGTGTCCTTGGCATCCACCGAGTCTGACGATCCGTTGTTGTCGCCGTTCGCGCCGGGCCAAGACCCCGGACCGTCCTCCCCGACACCATCTAGCATACCTTCCGCGTTGTCCGGCTTCTTCTTGGTGCTCAGAGCGCCCATCCCCGCGATCGTAGCCGCAACCACCTGGGACAAGGCGTACGGTTGTGACACGGTGGGCTTGGGTAGACAACAACGCGCAAAGAATTCTCGCGTGGGTGCCGTCCTCGCTGAAGCGAGCCGCGCCGGTGCAGCCTGGTAGGAAGGCAATCTACATATATGGGAGATATTTCAATCTTCTTGTGGTGCTCTGGCGTTCCGCCGAGCCGAGCCACTTCCCTGTACACTGGCCACTCGTTCCGCGCGAACTGCTGCAACAATTTACCATGAGAGTCTCGCCGTACCTCATGCTCCTCAACGATATCGCGCGTCTCAAACACCCCCGACGTGATCTGCGACACACGTCGCCCCACGGCCGCCAAGCTTGAAGTAGGACTGCGAAACGACACACCGCCGGCGTCGGTTCGAAAGCGATGTCGGCAGAGGGTCCACGCAAGAGGCGACAACAGCATCTCATCTATTACCAGGTAAAGGTCGTCCTTACCATGGCCGACTTATGAGGCGCGTTTTTGGAGTGGAGAAGGGTGGCGCATTCTCATCGTGGCAAAGGCAGCATCAGCGGCAGAAGCAGGCCCAAAAGCGAGTCCATTCGTTTAGTCTGTTGGCTCGATGGCTGGGTTAAGTGTAGAGAGTTCAAGACGCGGTCAGACGCCACGGACTGAAGGGTGCATCTGAGACAATCTCGGCTGCTCAAAACTCTCTTGCTCCAGCTCCCGAGAACGCCCCATGGACCAACCCTCCATCATCGTCACGTCAGGAAGAGAGGTGCGGGGAGGGGGGGCGCAAAACACCCGCCCGAAGTTCCTGTAGTGTCAAACAGAGTGTGGAACCAAGCTAAATATCTAGCAGAGAGGCAGCAGTGCCGGAACAAGCAGCACAAGTTTCAAGAAACATGTCAGGCAAAGGCCAGGATCTGCTTCCGCATCTATGCATACCTCGATTGCAGTGCACGAGCCACCAAGCACGTGAGAGCGAACGACTTTCTGGAGGGCTCGAACACCGGGGCGTAGATCGGGTGCGGCGCTACGAAGTCCCACCAGCCTGACCCTGCCACCTTGTACCACGCATGGCCGCTGATGATCCACAGCACTGGGTGGTTGGTGTCGGAGTAGTCGATGCACCTTGTGTCAGCAGCAGGCAGAAGAGGGCAAGCAAAAGGTCGATTGAGTTGGAGACGAACATCAACGTGGGCCGAGCCAGAGACTGGGGGTAATGCATCCTTCACGTGGGACGAAGAGGAACAAAAACAAAGGCAGCGAAGATCATTTTTCTCCCACGACACCACCGGTTTCCCAGGCCCATGCCACACAGGTACGGCATAGTTTTGCTCGAGCGTGTCGCGCCGGCCATCAACCTCTCTCGCGTCGTCTGTCGCGCTAAACGCACGCTCACCAGTCATCGACGCAGTTGATCCGGATGCGCACCGTGCGTCGGGCCGGCACCAGCACGCAGCGCGTCAAGCTCTCCTTCCTAGCGGCGGTGGAAGCGCTCTCGCCCTCTCGCTTTGCGGAGGACCGGGAGCCGCAGGGGGCCAGCCGGAATGACTCCCAGTCCATCCACTCGTCGAACTTGGACTTCCAGCCGTTGAAGTGCACCTTCACCTGCTTGCGCTCCTCGCTCACCTCGGCCACCTTAGCCCCGTACCACCGGAAGGTCTCCATGCAGAAGGCGTCCACCTTGAGGTGCTTCCTCATCACCGACCAGTCGAGGCTAGCCGCTCCGGCCGCTTTCGACTCGACCTCGAAAGGGTAGTCCCTGGGCGCCTTCTCGACGTAGTAGAGCAGTAGTCCGTCCTTCCTCCCTTTACGGAAGCATGACCCCACGAATTCGGCCGAAGGGATGCCGCGCCCTTCCGAGCCGTCCAGCCCCCCCGAGAACGTAGCCATCGAGAAGCTCGGCGGAGGCTTGGGCCTCTTCAAGGCCGGCCCGGCATCGTCCCTCCCGGCGTCGCCGTCTCCCCCGCCCCCTGCGCTGCCGCCACCGCTACCGCCGCCGCCGCCGCCGCCACCGCCGCCACCGCCGCCATCGCCGCCGCTCCCCGCTTTCCGCTTCTTGCTCCCCACGGCGGTTGCGCCCGACGCCGCTACTACCCCCGCAGGCCGCCCCTCTGCCGATCCCCCCACTTCAACGGCAGTCGGAGCAGCCGAAGAAGATTGGAGCGCGCTAGGCCTGCCGACCATCGGCGATCCTCTAAACCCACCGTAGTGAGCACCGTTAGCACCCCCGCCCCCATCCGCCCTAACATCCATGGGGTATTCACGGCCAACACCGGCGCTGCCCTGGTACGTCCCCTCGAACGCGCCCACGCCGCCAAACTGCTGGTACTGCTGGTACTGCCGCAGCTGCTGCTGCTGGTGGTGGTGCGGGTACTGCTGCTGCAGCTGCTGCCGGTGCGGGTGGCGCTCCTGCTGCTGGTGGTACTGCTGTTGTTGGTACTGATGGTGCCGCGGGTGCTGCGAGTGGTGGGGGTACTGCGGGAACTGCTGATACTGCTGCTGCTGTTGCTGTTGCTGCAGGTGTTGATCCTGGTGGTAGAAGTACTTCTCGGGAGAGTCTTGGTACCGCACGTTGCTCTTGCGGGCGCGCTCGCCGTCGGGTGGTGCCTGTGCGTCCCACATTCCAGACGACCCTTCGGTGCCTCCCCCGCTCCTACTATCGTACCCCCAACCCCCCACCACCCCTTCCGCGGAGCCCCCCCACCCCCCCACAACCTCCTTTCCGGAACGCATGCCTCCACCGGTGAGCGACGGGAGTGCCGGGAGCGCGGGGGGCTCGGGGAGCGCAGGGGCGGGGGCGGGGGCGGGGGGGGGCGGGGG